CACATTTTCTTAATCCATTCGTCAGTGCTGGGGCATCTTGGCTGTTTCCATAACTTGGCTATTGTGAATAGTGCCACAATAAACATGGATGTAGAAATCTTAAAACAACTGAAATTACCATAAGAAAGGGACTAAGGAAGAATGGAGAAAATTAGAGGAGATAAGCCAATTGGGGTTTAAGGAAGAATGGAGAAAATTAGAGGAGATAAGCCAATTGGGGTTTTAATACATGAAAGTATCACAAGGAAACTCACTGTGTAACTTCCTTTATCCCAAACAAGCTAAAATGCCATGTTTTTTTTATTTTATCTTTTTTCTCCCACAAAATCAGAGAACAGGAGTGTGGAACAAGTCCTGCCCAGGGGAGAGGGCTGGCATCAGTGGGATGGGGAGGTGTCGGGGAAAAGGGTTAGGAGGGCAAATATGGTGCAAAAAATGTGTACACATGTATGTAAATGCAAAAATGAAACCTGTTGAAACTACTCCAGGAATTGGGGAGGAGAATAAAGTAGAACAGTAGAGAGGGTAAATTCAAGTATGATATATTTACTATGGTGTAAGAACCTTTGTAAATGTCACAATGTACCCAAGCCCAGCAAAATAATAAAGGAAAATAAATAAATTATTTTATACACTTAACTTTAAATGATTCAATTTACTTTTCTACATGATACAACAAAGGAAGCAGAAACACAGCACCCCATGTAAAGTACATTTATGTGATTGCTTTGTAGCCTGTCACTTTTCACGTTCATAGAACTTACTATCTCCTTTCTATTTCTTGTATTCTAATGTCTCACTATTTGTTCTTTCTAATCAATTTTTGAACATGTTCAGTTTCTCCTGTATAAACAAAAAAAGCAGTAAACCCTTCACTCTACCTCAGACCTAGTTATGCTTAAACTTTATTTCTCTTCCTTGAAGCATTAAATTCTCTGTATCCATCAGGTGCATTTTCTTGTATTTCTTACTCTTTGTTGTCTATTTTTATCATTAAGACTTAAACTCTTGTCAATATTGTGAGTCTTCAACTTAATAAACCTTAATGACACATTTTAGTTATCATTGTCCTTATCTGCTGAGAAACATTTGACTCTCCTGAAAATTATTTTAGAAACACTCTTCTCTTACTTTCTAGGTCAGAACATTCTTCCAGTCTTCCAAAATCTTTGACAACTCCTTGTTGTCATTTTCTAGCACTTCTTTCTTCTCTACCTTACCCTGATAATGTTTTTAAGTCTCTATCCTAACCCGCTTTTCTTCCCATACTACTTAATTTCAAGGATATTACGTATATCTTGAAATAGTAATGAATATAATTACAGTGATAACCACATAATGACATTTTTGTCTATGATAGACTACATATATAACATGGTTCCATAAGCTTATAGTGGAGCTGAAAAACTCCTATCTTCTATGGCATCACAACTATTGTAATGCCATAATGCAACGCTTTACTTAAAAGTTTGTGGTAATACAGGTATAAACAAGTTGACCGTGACTGGCAATCATATAAAAATATAGTGCATATAATTATGTGTATTACTTAATAATGAAAATGACTATGTTAAAAATTTCCATATGTTCTTACTAAGATGTGGAAGTCAAAGGTTAATCTCATAGAAGTAAATAGGACTGTAGTTACCAGAGACTCAAGAGAGTTGAGGCATGGGAGATGCAGAGAGGGTAGTTAACAAGAAAAGGAGTACAGTTGAATAAGAAGAACAATTTCTGATGTTCTATTTGCTCAGTAGGGTAACTATAGTTGACAACAATTGTTTATTTTAAAATAGCTAGTAGAAAGAATTTTGAATTCTCCCAACACAAAGAAATAAGTATTTGAGGTGATGTATTATTGTGATTTGATCACTGCACATATTGAAATAACATACCATACCTCTTAAATATGTTTAATTACTATATCAACTTAAAATATTTTTGTAAAGAATAAAACCAATAGCTAACATTTGTAGACAACTGCTAGGTGTTATATCAAGAATTGTACATGAATTAGCATATTTAATTGCCAGAAAGGACAATCTGTGAAACATTAGTGTTAGTAGCTTCATACATTTTTTTTTAAAGAAGAAAATCAAGCTATAGAGTAGTTAAGTCACTTGTCCAAATTCATGGCCCTGGGGGCATCAGTCCTTGATTTTGAACTCTGGCTATTTAAACTTTTATAAAGAACTTGAATGAATAGGGATTGGAGGGGTTCTTTATTTGTTTTGTTTTCAGTATAGCTAAAACTATAGCTATACTGAAAAGAGAAAATAAAGTTTTGTTCATCTCTTATCTCCAGGTATTTAACACAGCAACCAGAAAACAGTTCTTGGAACATCTTCAATAAATTATGCAAAGGAAAAAGTCCTTGCTGGCAGGAAATACTTCTGTAATGCCTCTGACCAGTTCTAGTCTGACTGGAAGGGACACCAATATTCTGAAAGTCTAAGTTCTCTGGTCCAGAGTTGCATAAGTCTCCTAAGTAACTGACATCTTCAAGTCATAGAACCCCTATTCCATCATCCCACTGAGTGATGAAATCAGAAATACCCATTTTTAAAGATGTGAAAGTACTGCAGGCACAATGCCAGTCCACAGAAGTCACTCAATGTGAGATCAATGATGGATTTGTAAATAAATAACTAAATGACTCATCCTCAACTGGAAAAAGATGCCAGCTTTTCAAAAAGCTCTTTGCATGATTAACATCTCAGTATCTTATCCTTAGGAGAAACTTTGGGTTAAACACATTTTATCTGCAATCATAACCATCTGGTGTAGCTGAGGCAAGGCATTTACTTAACTGTCCCCAAGGAGGAGTTATAATATTGTAAGGAAGCTAGAGGCAGTTACTGAAGAGAGATCAGTGCTCTGTGCATCTGGGCAGCCCCTCCACGTTTCAGAAAGATTTGAACACAGTCCACATATACCCAGATTCTGATAGACTCACATCCATTCTGAAAAAGAACATTCATTGGTAGCAAAGTATACTGAGGACTATTGCTAGGCAAACCCCATTACCAATACATTCTAAGTCTTCCAGACACATAAGAAAGAAATGAGGAATAAATAAAGGAATGTGAAGGTCTTTAACCAATGCCCACTCACTTCCCATCAATGAATTGCATGGTGTGATGTGCTAAAATAGTATTATCTCAAGCTTACAGCAAATGCCAGACAACTACCCTGGACAATCCCTGACTTTCACCACCATAGTTCCCAGCAGATTGTTGTTCTCAAATCCCCAACTCTGATACTGAAATTTTGGAGTCATCCTGAATTCATGCATGTGGCCTACAAATACTGAATATATGCCTGCTGAATTAATGAACCCTCACTCAGAAATCATGGAAACTAATTAATTTAATATATTAATTCAATGTTTCTGAGACTTGTGCTTCTTCATTCATTTTACAAGTGGGAAACTAAAGTTCACAGAAACAATATAGTTTGGCACATGATACTGCTAATAAATGATAGAACTGGAATGTAATCCCAAATCCATCTAACTTCTGAATCCAGGGTTTACCTTTCTTTCTTTGTTTCCCTTTAAAAAAGAAACCTTCATTTCTAAATTGTAAGAATAATGTATATTAATTTATAAAAACTTAGGAAGTAGTACATTTTTAAAAAACATAATCAAGTAACACTGTAATCCAATAGGAACTGCTGCCAACATTTTGACCTATTTCCTTCCCATAACATACCATTCAGTACATACAATTTATTGAACAACTTTTCCTTTGTTATATTTCAATCATGAATGCATGGCATTAAAAATTCTACAAAAAACTTTTTTTAATATCTATATCATATATCAATATATTGTAATTAATTCAGTCTTCTTCCTTGTAGCTGAACATCTAAGTCACTTCTGATTTAACAGTTATAATTAATACTGAATAAATCCCTTTGTACATAAAATTTGGACTTCATTTTGGAAGATTTAGTTCATTTAGTTTCCCAAATATAAAAATTGATTGTGCTATATTTCATGAAATTGCTTTTCCTTTTGAATTCAGAATTCCATACTGTCCCCAACTACCACCACAGTTCCCTAATCTCTTTTTCTGCTTTCTTTCTAAACCAACAAGTCAATAGTATAAATGTCTCAAATGTAGATGTGCAGAAAGGATGAAAAGAGCTTGTAATTTAGGATGAGAACATCTGGCATCTGCCAGTTCACTTCTCACAGAGGATAATGTTACCTGGCATGAGGTCTGTGGCCTCTAGCCCTTGTTTTCTTACCTGAAAAAATGAACATTAATAGCACCTCCCTCAAAAGGTTGATGGGTGAATTAAAGGAGATAAAACATGTGACAAGGATCTTGTAAGCATCATGTGTTCTAGCACGTCAGTGGCTATTACCTTTATTTTTACTGACAGAAAACTTTCAAAGGTCATTGAAAGTGGAAAAAAGTGATTTATCTCATTTTTTTTGTAAAATGAAGCTTTCTTTAAACAAAAAGAAGATTAAAAGTATTTGAAAGCACTCTGTTGAAATGACAGCTGTCAGAAAAAGGTTTCTCACATCCACCAAGTATTGTGTGTCATCCTGGAGATTTTGAAAACTGCTGGAGTTCAGAATGTAAAGATCTCTATTCACAGACATGTCAGAGAACAGGTAAACCCAACACACCTTGATGAGTGTAGTGCACAGCCGCCTCCTCTTTGGGGGTGGATCTCAACATCCTGCCAGGCTGTGATTGGCCCTGGTTCCTTACTCAGAAATATTTAAGGATGAAGGCGGTTACTGCTAACCAGCCAGCAGGTAGCAAGCAAAGAGAGAAAGATAGTCTAGCCTCTCTCAGAGCACAAAAGACTCATGACAAGCTGGGGAGGGGATCTCTCAGGTTTGTGAAGAGGCAACTAGAAAGTTCTCTGTATAGGCATCATATTGCCTTCTCAGGGAACAGAAACAGTCACTTTATGGTCCATTCATAGGATTAGAAATTTCAAGAGTCAACCTAGATAATCTCAGAGATTCTTTGACCATGAAGTTTGAAGAAAAGTTTGAGGGCACTGGGAGCCTTGTAGAAAAGTGTCAGCCATACCTAGACCAAATACATCAGGCAAATGGAAAACCAGTAGCAAATGGGAAAGCCGAGGCCTATGTAAGGCAGGAAGTAAATGGCAAGAGCAATGTGCTCAACAAGAGTCTCACACTTACACCTGGGAGGAAATCCAGAGACACAATCAGGAGGCCGACCAGTGGCTGGTGATTGATCACAAGGTTTACAATGTTACAGACTGGGCAGACAAGCATCCAGGTGGGCACCGAGTCCTCAACCACTATGCTGGGGAAGATGCCACGGTAAGAACCTCCAAGCCATTCTCTCATTCTCTCTCTCTTTCTCTCAATCTCCCTCCCTCCCTCCCTTCCTCCCTCTTTCTTGCTCTTCCTCTAGCTCTCTTCCCCCCTCAACTCCCACCCCGCTTCCTCCTTCCCTCCCTTCTTCTCCCTCTGCCAACAGCTAGGTGGCTGAAATCTTGGCTGTCTTCCCAAAAACATTTAAGTACATGTTGGAGCTCCACAATCACTCATCTCCTCCCAAACCAATTTTTCAGGATTCCTATCTAAGCAAGAACTTGGAAGCACATCAAGCTTCAAGGTATAGCTACTAACTACTCACAGTTTGGGATATACTCAGATGTTGACAGAGGATACTGTGTTTGTATATTTTGGTGTTTCATTTTTTCTTGGGGCTTTGTTTTGCTTTGATTTACAATGGAGTCATTGTCTGATTAGAAGAAAATAACAAATAGGTTAGTAAAACCTGAAAAAATATCTGCAACTAAAGCAGAGATTTCTAAGATCTTTTTAATTACAGTGTCTAAAAGAAAGATCCAGTGGGCATCAAAATATTGTTAGTAACAACAAAAGCCAACAATTACTCAGACTTTTAGTTTGAAGAGTTCTTTGGCATCTAGTAACTGATTCAGTGTGACAGGTGATGCAACCCACTTTTATGGACACATTCAAATGCACCACCTTACTTAAACTTGCCATAAGGAAGGTGAATATTATTTCCATATTGCACACAAGAAAGGTGATGTTAAGAGAGGTAAATAATGCATCACACGTTTAGCAACTGACAGTGACAAATTTTGGAATTAATTTGGTTTGACCATATAGCCTTGTTTATCTGGTTCTCTAAAACACAGGCTTTCCACTTAATATTTGATAAGGAGGTCTCCCAAAACTCTTTAAGTACATTTAGAAACCTCTCTTTAAGTATTCTATAATGACAAATGTTTCCACCCAACTGAAAATTTTATTTTTCACATTGTATAAAAGGATAGAGAGCATAAACAACTAACTCAAGTTCAGAGAAATCAGCATATGACAGAACAGAAATTTACACCTGGGCGTTATTTTGTTGCACCTGTGCATTTCAGAAACTAGCATATGACTTCTCCAAATGATTTCCAAGCACAGTTTTGTTTTGCAAATGGTGTGTGCTGATAACAGAATTTACAGATATTTGGCAGATTTATAAACATTAGAAAATGGCATCTATTGATGCCATCAACATCTGTTTTCCACAAATGTTTGTCTGTCCCCAATTTTTTGCCCCCTTCTCTAACTACTAGGTGTAGTTCTTCTACCTTGTTTCTATCTTGATTTTAGGCTACATCCTCATTTTTTTCTCTTAGATCTGATACTTTTAAAACAAAGTTCTTCATTCCTTGGGAAAATGAGCACAAGCTCATTACAGTTAGGGATGGTGTTTAATGGGTATTAGGAAGTTATGGACAGGATAGATACACAGTGGTCAGAGATGCAGTAAAGTGGAGAACATTTGTGTGAGAACTATGGAAAATAAATTGACAAATATAAAATGAAAAAAAAAGACCACAGATCTCTAGCTCTCCTGTGCCTTCATTCCTACAACTCAGAGAAAATGAATAAGGCTTTTCTAACACACATCACAAAATTAGCTCAATATGTACTGACAAAGACATAGGTTTCCAAAAGTGTTAAAATAGCTGACAAGGCTGGACATAATAACTCATGCCTGTAATCCCAACTAGTCTGAAGGTGGAGACTTAGATGGCTGTGGTTCAAGGCCAGCACTGACAGAGTTAGAGAGATCCCATCTCAACAAACAAGCTAGGCATAGTGGTACACGTCTATAATCCCAGTAATGTAGGAGATATAGATAGGAGGATCTTGGTTCAAGAATGGCCCTAAGCAAAAAGTGCAAGACCCTATCTGAAAAATAACTTTGAATCAAAATAACCTCGCTGGAAGCATGGCTCAAGTGTTAGAGTACTTGCTTAGCAAGCTCTTTTTGATGGTACCTAGTAGCCTAGTACCATCAAAAAGAAAGAAAAAGAAAAGTAGTGACAGCTTCACTTGTTTGAAGCCACCCAGAAGATAAATTTATAATTTGTTAGTGTTTTTACCTCAGGAGTTAGGAAATGATTTTCTTCTGCTTCCAACTCTAGCCACATAGGAGCCATCAATTCTTAGGGATAAATACCCATGCAACCTCATATTCATACATGTCACAGAGCAAAATCATATGCTTGGTCAGCCAAGTATCTTAGCATCTAGGAAAATAAATCTAAAAATAGTCAGAGAATAGATTCTCTAAGGGAAGATAGCTCAAGAATAATAGAAGAGTATCAGGAGAATCCTGGCAATTATATTCCTACCTGACTCCGGGCTAGGAAACGAACATTAGAATAGGTTATGCGAACATGAGAGAGTGAAATGCTCTGAGATTCAGCAATTTGATCTCCGAAATAGAAATGGCATAATCCATTGAATTGGTTTATGGTAAACAGAAAGAATGCATGTGTAGTGTTCACTATGATACCAAACATTAGATAAAAGTTCATGAAATCGTGGCTTCTATTATTCATGTTGCCAGCATCTATCATCAAAAACGTGATCATTACTTTCTGGTAGATTACCATCAGTGTAGAACTTCTGATTATAACTGTGCCTTTAATTGAGAACAGAGGGATGTGTGGTAGAGAAGCATTACACTTCTTAGTGAAGGGAGAAGAACATCAAGTTCAAGGACCTGAGGTCAAATGCTTGCTCTACAACTTAAGAGGTTGTGCATTGATTGGCAAGTGAAGACCAAAATAGAGTCTCTATGTGTCAGCCCTGGGCCTGTGGCTGTACCTGCCCAGGTAGGGAATCTTTCTCCAATTTACACAGGAACTCTTTTCCATGCCTCATAGAAGATGGATAATGATACCTAAGTGATCTGTGCCAGGGGTTTGTGAATCCATCCATTCATTTGTTCTAAAACCTTTGTAAGAGGTCTAGCCTAATGGTTAAAAGTACAGGTTTTAAATAAAACAGGTCTGGTACACATCTGGGCTCTACTCTTACTAGGATGATCCAAAAGAGGTTGCTGAAGTTCTTGGAGTCTCAGTTTCATTATCTATAAAAGGGAATAATACTTTAATCCTCATTTTGTTGTAGAAGTCAGTGGAGATAAAATGAAGTGCTCCTTATGATGCGTGGCACAGATTAAATACTCAAAAAATGATGGTTCTTATATTTAATTTTACTTCATTCCTCTAAGATGGATTTTAATGTTCTCTGAAGAACTTTTCTAAGAAAAATAAACCTATAGAATGATATTGACCCATAAACTCTTGTTACTGAATGAATGAGTTCTGGTTGTTTTCAAGCTATATGGTTTTAAACCAATGTCACTGTCCTTATAAATAGAGTTTGGGCCCAGGTCTTTTCACTTGTGTAAGCTTACACTCAAAAAAACTAGAAACAGCCCATAAGTACAAGAAAATTAATTATAAAGATTATCACATGACTACAATAGGTTGGGCCATTTTGCGATCTTTAAAATGAGGATAATAAAGAATTTTGATGGCATGACACTTACATGAATAAATATTTGGCCATAAATTTTATATAAGACAACAATGTGTTCCAAGCTCCATCAAAAATTAAATGCTACACAGAAGTAGCATGTTAAGAACAAAGAAAGCAAGTTTATTGTCTTGTCTTCAGATCAACCCACTCCTCAACTCTAGACCCACACTCTAGCAGGACAGTGAGAGATTCAAATCCTTTCCCATGAGAGTCAAAGGTGGACATGACAAGGGAGGAATGACAAAAGTTTCAAGGATGTTCTGATCAGAGTATTTTTTAGAAAAGATAAAATAATGTGCAGCTCTACTCCCAAGTGATTTTGGGATGAGCAAAACCAACAGAGGTAAGGCTGGGGCAAGAGGAAGTAAATGTGAGCAGAGGTGGAGTACAGGTATGATTCATGCTTGTTCACAAACAGCATGGGCATCCCAGCCTAGCCACTTCCATCGCTTAGCACAACACTGGTCAAAAGTGCATACTTAATTAGTGACAGTATCTATCATAGTAGGATGGTGAGAAGAGAAAATGGAGAGAAGAGAAAGGAAGAAGAGGGGCAAAGTAAGAAAAATGCAGAGGAGGAAGAAGAGAAAGGATGGTGAATACTGAGTTAAGGAGTTTGCATTTTACCCTCACTATGGCTGCCTGTCCTTCCACTACAAGTGATACCTTGCATGTACCATGCTCTCATCCTCACCACTGTTTCTAAGCCATTGGTGAAAGGAAAGTAATAATCATAATAAGCGTGTCTTTCTTGGGTTGTTAAACTTTATAAGCAATCTGATTCCCATTTAAAATGTAGTTATAGTTGAAAAATACATGGGGAGAAGAAAGAAGGAAGTCCAAGTTCTATCAGATGAAAATGGGTCATGAGAAGATATTGCTTCTCTTAAAAGTCAGCTTGGCATTTAAGTAAAGGATGAAATCAAGCGGAGCTAGCCAAATGAAGGAAGACCAGAATAGAGTCCAGGGAGCATGTTGAAGGCCCAAATAAAGCATTGACAGCAGGAATGGAGAGAAGATGGGTGGGAAGTACTTTTAGGAGACATATATTATATTTAATGAGTAACTGAATAAGTTACCAGAATGTGAAAGTCTAAATTGATTTATTGATAGTTCAATTGGGCAACTGGGTGCCCAGTACAGGGTAATATTCAGAGTTAGAATATTGGAGAGAGAAAGAGAGAGAGAGAACATTGTGCTGGAGCTTAGCTGAAAGTGTCATAGAAAAAAATATTTCAGTATACAGAAAAGCCTTCAAATAATAAAAGTTTTCAAGCAATAGAATGAATGGCAGTGGAAATCTAACCATCTCCTCCTTATTCCTCTGGATGAAGGGGAATCTAGTGATTTCATGTGAGCATCCTCTACACCAAAATAGTTTTCTTATAGGACAAGAGTGAAGACACATTCTCCCCCACAATACAGCCTGTTTACAACTCACACTTCATCTGAAATATTAAGAGCCTCCTCTAGCTATTACCATGGAGTGCATAAAATCTGAGGAGGAAGCAGAGACATGGGAAATGGAACTTCATCTTTGGATAGGTATAGAATATTCTTGTGAGTTTTTTTTTTTTTGGAGTAAATCAAGAACTACATTCTAGTTATCTTGTTTTGTGACTTACATTGCCATTAGCGTTTTTTTTAAATTTGTTTCTTAGTAAACTTCTTTTGGGGCATTTCAAGCCATATCAGATGAACTAAGTAATAATACTAGCAGTAATATGTAATCATTTATTGTTGTCTAATTCAAAGCCTAAGCTCTTAGACACTAGAGTAGGTCATGGATAGGTTTGAGAATGACTAAGTAAATGAATAAAGGAATTAATGAGTCCATGAGGAGGACTAGCTAGTATTATCTATGTAGGTAATAAAACTGAGGCTTGAGGAACTTAAATCATTTCCCCAATATGAAATAGCCTACTTCTCTGCTACACTCCACTGTACTGTGTAGTGGATTAGAAAAAGCACACACTCTTTGAGTGGTTGCAGCAGAATGGGTGCAAGGTTTGGCTGGACTTCAGACCACACTTGCCCTCTTGGATGGGTGCCTTCATGCAGGGCACAATTTGTGCAATAGTATTTAAGTTGTAAAACCAACATTTTGCCTCACACTTTCAGACTTCCCATACATTTCTCTTTCACTAGGGATTAAAATGCTTTTGTACCAAAGTACATACTCCACCTCCCACTAAATAGTAGCAAAAACTTAGCAGTATTTCTAAGGTATTTGTGAAAGCAATGTACTAGTCACATCTTCCCTGTGTTGATACTATTGGAATTAATTGGTTTCAAGATGAGTTCTAATATAAATTGACTAGTAACTCCATGAGTGAAGATGATGACTGAGAAGGGAGTCAAAAGGCTAACAAGTGAAATGGGAGGTATAAAATTAGCAAAAATATAAAAAATGGACATGCTAAAGTTAGGGAGCAGCACTTAACACCTACATTGTTGGAATGCCACACTTTGATCATCCCAATTCCTCATTATAGAAGTACTATCTCTGTCTATTCATTCACCCTGCCCTTATTCATCAGGCATCCATTCATCCCATGCTATATTCTAGGCATTGTCATAGGTATTAGGTATACATTGATCAATAACAATGCATAGTTCCAGTCTTCAAACAACTCACAACTCACTAAGAACAGGCAAGTACACGGTTTCATTGCAACATAATTTGAAAAGGTCTAATAGTGTCCTGAGCTCCCAGAAGAGATTATGAATAAGTGAGGAAAGCCCATATTGGTCTTGGAGGATGAGGAGAACCTTTCACAAATGGAAGAGGGAAGTCAAGGCAAAGGGAACAGTATGCATAAAGCTTTAGAACCATAGGGAGGCATAGAATGTTTATTAAATGTGAGGCTTAAGTAGAGAAAACAGTGCATAAACTATATAGATCTAGAAGTAAGCCCAATGAGACAGGTTCAAGCCAGAAGCAAACTATTTTATATAACTAAAACCTGAAAGATGTAAACTGATTTTAGCATCATTTGAAAATGATGTAATATTGTACCTTTCAGAATTATACCTGTTAGGCTGGAAAGGATCTTTATGGCTTCATTGCTTTAGAGTCACCTAGCCCTGACTTCAAAACCTGGTGCAAAATATTTCTCCCGTCTGAGACCTGGTGTCTTTATCTGTAGGACAAATGAAATCTCACAGCTTTATCTGTATGACAGAAGTCTGAAAGCTCTGAGTTGGCCCACAGAGTGCCTTGTACATAAGATGCACCTTGGAAACACTAGCAGTATCCCCTTTTCCCTCCATTGTACTCTGCCTCCTTCTTGGCAGGAACAAACTTGCCCAAGAATGTTACTGACAGAACCTGTTCATTTTTTTGGCAGACTTTCAACCATGGATTTCACAGCCTATTATCTGGATTCTATTAGAACATTATTAAATATTCTAAGACTATCTAAACACATTTGTTGTACTAATACAATCAAAAAGAGTTTCACATAGAAAGTCAATGCCTACTGTTCTGGAAAATGCTGTAGTTCTTTGGTATTTGTTATCATAGTATGGACCTGTGAAGTTTCCTGCAGATCAGAAGAAACAATGAACTCAGAAGAATATTATTATCAGCACATTGTAAAATAAAATTTTAATAGATCACATTCTTCTGCATCATACATTGGTCCATCAGGGTGTTTTCTTATTCTAACCCACTCTGAAATATCAAGCAGAACATCATTTTGTCAGTACGGATCATCAACAGCTATAATAATCACATTCTTAATCACTGAATCACTCTTTTCTTTGTTAGGGGAATTAAGCTTTAGTATCAGAGAATGGTAATAATATAGCCCATTATTTCTCAAAGGGGTCATACAAAGTAGGCAAAATACAATATACAGTAAAGCCTGGACTGGTTCTAGCAGATAAAAGCCGTTTTTATATTATTGTATATATAGATTCTTAAGAGAAGTGAGTTGATATTGTACCCTTTTAATTACCATACTCATTTTATAAGCCTTTCTTACAAATAGATTCATATCTATTTCTTGGATATGTCATAAGTTGCTTCAGGATTTGGAAATGTAGGATTTACTATACTCGTAAACATATTCTGAACCCACTCTACATGAGGTATTAGAGCATAGGAATAAAATATCAGAATTGTTGTATTAAAGAGAAGGTAAATGGTGAATTCTTATCTCTAGAGGTAGGCACATGATAAAGATACCAATAAGTATTATAAACAGCATATGCCAGTCAGCATTCTAACTAATTCATTTGATCCTCATGAGAAATTTATGAATTGAGTGGCTATCATCACCTCCATTTCAGAAGAGAATATGGAACACCACATGTAAGTCAACAGACTTGTCCATGGTTACACAGCTAGTAAGTGGCAGAGCCAGAATTTAGATTTGGGAAAGCTGCATCCAGGGTCTACTTTAGGAATTGATACCATGCAAAACCAACCCTATAGAATACTTGTACTGCTTCCATATATTCAACTTACAACTTCACTTTAATCACTCTCACTCCAAAGCCCTAATGTCAGGAAACCCAGCATCTCCCTCTTGCAGAATCCTTCTTCCCAAAAAATTACATAAACACTTGAGGGGAAGTGTCTCTTATTTCCATATATAACAGGATATAGGAACCTCTCTGCTTCTTACGGCAGTATGAGTTACTACTTAACTAGCAACAATGCTTTTTATAGAGTGGTAAGAGTCCTTTAATGATAAACTTAACCTAAAGTGTACTACTTTAGACAGCCCAGGGCTCAAGGACTGTGCTGTCATGATCTCTCATGTCTTTCTTTTTAGCTGCTGTCATCAAATTTAACCTATTTTTCTCTGGAAATAACTAATTAAAGGGTTTCAGGAAATAACTAATTCAAGGGCCTCATTCTTCTGGGGCTTGGACCAAAACCCAAAGGAATCCCTCAATAGAAGATGTAATTTGCATAACTAGTATTGGTTGTTGCATGCCTTAGGGAGTATAAGCAATTTCCACATGAAAGCTTATGCTGGATTTTAAAGATTGATCATGGCTCATAAACTAAACCACTTATCGCTTCTGGTGCACAATAAAATAAACAATTGTGTCATCATTACTCCAAGATAGCCTGACTGTATTGGTCACACCTAGAGAAACAGTGCATAGACTAGGTGAGTCTCCATCTAGCATCAGCATTTGATAGAAGGGTCCCAAGGGTAGTTTTGATTCTTCAACTTGAAACATCAAAGTGAAATGAGAAGCAAATCCTTTGTAATGGAGTCTGCTGATTGCCAAGTTGAGCACAGGATGAGTAAGGAAGGGGTGGATTTGTGGATAAACGTCTCTTCCAAGATTCTAACAGGTATCACTGATTTCAGAGCCATGCATCTGGACCAGGACATTTTGAAGTTATACCTTAAGTCTCTGCTTATTGGAGAGCTTGCAGATGTTTCCCCCTCATATTGGGCAGATGGCATGAGGTTAAAAGGGAAAGATGATGCAAAGCCAATTTTTATTCTTAAGGCTTTTCTGTAAAATAAAAAATTCCCATTAATGGCTCAGAGCTATAAGATAATCATTATTTAAAACAATGTTCATCTGTGAAGATGAACCATAAATTTTCTTTACATCTATGTAAATACTCAGGTCTCTCTATATAGGAAAGTGGTAAAACAGGATACCAGCAAGTGTAGGCTAACCTCCAGCGTCTGTCACTGACTTGCTGATGATTTCAATACAGTCACTCTTCTAGATTTTGGTGACCTTTTACGCTGCATAATCTGTGGATTAGAAAAGATGATTGGGTTTAGAGAAACTCAAGAGATGACTAATTAATATTAATTATTAAAATTACCTATGGCCACAGAATTTTAAGGTGGATAAAGGATTGGAAGATGAGGCCTTCCAGACTTTTGACCAGCAATAGATCCTTTAAAAGTTGCATCAAAGAAGGGTGTGATAACTATTCAGGAGTTAGAGGTAGGAGGATTGCAATTTGAGCACAGCCCAGGCAAAAGTTAGCAAGATTCTCTCAAAAACAATCCAGGTGTGATGGCATCTGCCTGTGGTCCCAGCTACTTGGGAGGTGGAGGTAGAAGGATCATGGTTTAAGGCCAGCCAAGGCAAAGTTAGCTTGAGACCCTATCAGAAAAACAAATGAAAAAGCAAAAGGACTGAGAGCATGGCTCAAATGGTAGAGTCCTTGCCTATTAGTCAACAAGGCCTTGAGTTCAATCTCCAGTACCACAAAAAAGGAAATATTTCATTTGTTCTTCAAATTAAATGTGTGTTCATACTAATAAAATTCTATTAGTAAAATAATTTTATTACTAAAGTAATAAAGTATTACTTCTGTTCACTTATCGCAGAGGAACTAATTGCTCCCTTTAATATTTATTTCACAGCCACAGTTGGTGGCAGATTTCCAAGAACTGCACAGGAGATTGAAGGCTATGAACATGTTCAGTGCCACAGCACAGGTTCTTCTTCATCCACCTTGCTCAGATATTGATTTTGGAAGTCTAGCATGGCTAATACTGCTTTATTTCGGCAATGGTTGGACTGTTACAATATTCATTTCCTTTCTTCTCACAGTTTCTCAGGTAAGCAAGTATCCTAAACCCAGGCAGTAGCTTCAGAAGTGGCCTGGAGATATTTCTTCCCTCCCTAGATAGGTGTCAGCAGCTAGCTGCCTGACACTTCTTGGCAAACTACTTATCAAAGTATCTACAAGTTACTGAACTTCTCTTGACCCCAGTTCTTTATCTACAGAATGAGGTTGATAATGAACATGCAATGATTCTGAAAAGCACTAAGCAAGCTCATGTGTAAATCACCCAGCACTGGATCTGGCATATGGTAAAGGTTTAATTAATGACTCTTGCTTGTACTGTTCACATTGTCTTATCCCCACAATTTCAGCAACTAAAATCCTGTCCTTGCCACATAACATTCATCTTTATCTTTCATTTATTAACCCACCAACATTTTTCAATGCACTAGACCATAAATTCTTCAAGGGCAAAGACGACATTTTGTTATAAGAGAATAAGAACATATGAGTTCCTTTGTAAATGAAAACAACTGGCTCCTAGCAGGGCATTTAATAAATCTTGTTGAATACAATTTGAATCTTGGAACAAGACAGTGCTATGGATAGGAAGGAAATTCACATGGTCCCTGTCCGTGAGAAAGGAGACATTCAGGAAGGGAGAAGCCATTCAGCTACACGTAGTGCAAGGAAGAATAAGACAAATGCCAAGAAGAACAAGCATGTTCTGTTGGAGTAGAAAGGGGCATTTCATTCTTACAGGAACAATTGGAGAAGGTTTTAGAAAATTAACAGCAACGTGTTTCCAGATTCCAGAACTTTTTCAGAATAAAGTAATGTATGTCAGAATTTTTATGTCAATATTTTTTCCTTGAAAAACAAACTTGGTTTACTCTTTGGAAAACAGATTTGGGACACGAAGAGAGAGAAATATTTGTTGGGTGCTGAGCATAAGCTAAGTACTTTACACTATGTCAATTAGAAAACAGCCCAGTTCATCAGGTATTATTGTTCCTGTGCATCAGATAAATAACTAAAGGTCAGAGCTACTGAGTGACTTGCCTACGGTGATGAAGAAGCCGAAATCTGTCTGATTCCACAATCCATGGTCTTTCCACTCCACATTGGGAGATTTGACATGGCAAAGAGAGAATTCCAGGCTGAGAAAATCCACCTGATGAAGAGATGGGTGTTAGAAAGAGATGACGTGTGGAAAACAGAAACAAATTTGGATTGAAGTCAGATAAAATCCCCCAGTGTTCTTCTCCAATAGGCTCACAAGTCTACATCACATGGCTTGATGATTTCCTTGTGACTTCCCAACTCTCTAACCACTTTCTCTCTCTAGGCTCAGAGTTCTTTTTTGCAGCATGATGGGACACCTTTCCATGTTTAAGAAGTCCAAGTGGAACCACCTGATGCAGAAATTCGTGATGTGTCATCTCAAGGTACAGGATGTGATAGGGATTCTTGAGTGTCATTCCATAAGTAGGGAGTCCCTGCTTGATGGGCAATCATATCAGTAAAAACTGTTCATGATGCCTCACAATAAAATGTGAACATACTAATAATGTGCATTATACCTACTAATCTGTAATACCACATTACAAAATATATGTTTGATTTTTTAATTTTATGAGGAAAACTTTTATTTTTATTCAACAGGCTCTTATATTTTCCATTAATCTGACAGACAATTTGGCCCAATCCTGGAACCCTTTGTCCTAAGGAACCACCTCACAAGAAGATTTGTGTCTTTACAAATGAAGATAACATTAGAATGGGAATTTTTTTTAAAGTAATGTGAACATTTTTTTTTGCAGGATCTAGGGAAATCCAGCAGGCCTGATTAATCCTGGAAGGATAAAGCTGAGGAAATAAAGGAAAAGATGTAGGAAAACAGAAAAAGTAAGAAAAGAGAAAGACTAATCAGGGAAGGCCAGAAAGCTCTGTTCAAGAAGAGGGTTGTAAAACTTAACTTCTGAAAAAACAAGCCTTTCACTAAACCAAATCCTTGCACTCAAGTCAGTTCCTCTTAGGAAAAGTCCATGAGCACTGACTTGGAGCTTGTTTATTCTTAGTTAACATGGTGGTCCTTTATATTATTAAAAAAAAAAAAAACCTACTATCTGGTTTTCCAGCCTATAGCATCTTGGAAGTAGCCAGCTAATAAGAGAGTGAAGAAAATCCTGGAGCCAAGCCCACATACAGCAGCAAGCCATAAACATGGCCAGCAAATGATAAGAGTGGCAGGTGGTCACTCACATTAGACGACTGCTTGCCAAGTATTGGGCACGGAACCATCTCCTTCAGGCTGTTGTCTCATGCAGTTCTCATGAGGTAGGATTACAGCATTCTTCTTTTCAGTTGAGGTGCTCTTCAAAGGGTTAAGCCAATGTTCATAAACTAAGTAGAAAAATTCATAGCACGGTGTCTAATAGTGCTGACTTTGAAGCAGTGTTTCTTAATTCTGGCTATCATTTGGAGACATTGAAAAACTTTTTAAAAACACTCATGCCTAGACACCATTGCAAATGTTCTAATAAAATCCATTTGTAGTGGGTCTAGATGTTAGCATGTTTTTGAAATCTCTGCAGGTGATACTAACTTGAAACCAAGTACTGAAAACTGCTGATCTAATCATAGAGCATCCTTCTATGGGAACTCAGTTATTTATTGGCTGGGTCACTTTGGAGAAGTTATTTAATGTGTTCAAATTTCACTTTCTTCACTTGCAAAATGAAAATTTATGGCTTCAACTTGGATCAATATAGTTAGGATTATCTGAAATACACGTGTGTCATGCCTAATAAAGTCCCCAAAAGTGCTTAGACATTGTTAGACATTACTAATATTAGGGAAAAATTTTTAATAATAAAATGAGGCCCAGAAAAATGTTTAATCATGATGTATTAAGAAGATAGGGAAGTCATCATAAATCCCAGACAGCCACATTGACTTGCAAGGAATCACCTACTCTAATCTATTGTTTCTCCCAGTGATAAGATTGAAAATAAGTATCTTAAAGAACAGAGAGTTGGGTTTTGGATTCATATTAAAGATATCTTTAAAGGGTTAGGATGAATCATAAATTGGCAATTGATCTGGCAAGTTTCATTTAATCAGAAAATTCTATAGGCACACAATTCCATCATCACCAGTGCTGGAATGATGATGTGTTTCTGAATTCACATAGAACTATCACAAAATAAAAGCAGCAACATTTCCTTAGTCACTGTGAGATTCAGGTTATGACCTGCTGTTTCCCTCTGCTGTGCTGAGAAGTCAGAGAAAGGTAAGACTCATCTGACCTAGAGGTAACTGGCAGTTGATTTCGTGCCTCTGTGGAATATCTCCAAACAGCCCCACCCTTGCTAGCACTTTTAAAAGTCAATGGTTTCCCACTGTCTAAATCTGTACAGAGCTCTTTCTATACTGTGTCTCCACAATTTTGAGCTAGTTGAAATTAATATAATGTTGATGGTTTGTGAACAGAAGGAGAAAATGGAAAATGGCTTAAAAGCAAACCAGTGTACTTGCCTTTGTACCAGCAAAGTCAGTGATTCATGAACAAGATGAATATAGGCTTCAACTATGTGCAGAAGAGAAAATTACCTGTGGGGAGGAAAAGTGGGTGGAAGGGAGATGACAAAGAAAATTATAAGTAGCAACATCCCCGCCTTTTGCATGCATCACAATTTTAAACTTCAAAACTTGACTTAACATCAATTCTTCCTCCCCACCCCAAAAAAGGCACAGATATTGATATTACTCAGGATTTTCATTCACTAGCTGTGCAAAGAAAATGCATTCTGGTCTTTGAAGTGAATCCACTATAAAAGAGCCCTTCTAAAAGTAAATCATGAAACATTTACCTGTGTTTTGGGCTTAATGCAATGCATGCTGAATACCCCCAACTTAATCCAAGTATTTCTGAGCACTGACATGATGCCACAGTAGAAAATTTCACACAACAAAACCTTGTTTCATGAAAAAAAAATTCAAATGTTATATCTATAGATAGCTCATTGTATATAGGCAAATATTCCAAAATCGAAATTCAAATACTTCTGGTTCTAAACATTTCAAATAAGAAATATCAGCCTGTAATAAAATCAAAGTGAACTCTTCCACATAGCATATTTTTCAAGCTACTCAGCATACACATTTTAAAACAGTAAGAATCAGGTAGGCGCCAGTGGCTCATACCTGAAATCTTAGCTACTTAGAAGCCCAGACAAATAGTTCACAAAACTCTACCTTAGAGCAAAATGGACTGGAGGTGTGCTCAACTGGTAGAGCACCTGCTTTGAGAGTGTGAAGCCCCGAGTTCAAACTCCAAATTCCAATCTCACCAAAACAATAAATAAGAATCAAATGTCAAATGTCATTATCAGGACAGTGGAGCAGAATATTGTAAATTAAGACCTTCTTATTCTGTCTTCTTAAAAACATTTGATGGCAAAAGAGAGGGAGTGTCAAGCATGTTATTTCCTATAATTTTCTCAGTAACATTATACATTTTGCAGATGAGAAAATTACCAAAGTCAATACCTATTAGATAGCCAAGTGGGGATAAATTCAGATTGGTTATGGTCCATATCCTGTAATCTTTCTTCTGCACTGAAAAAGAACCTAACTTGGAAATGAGTAATGAGTCAATATGGTACCTTTATACAAATGTGTCAAGAGCAGTCAAGCATGGGCTGATAATATTCTTTTGCTTGTGAAGTACTCTCTCCTCTGTCTCTGGTAAGAGTGACTTCCAAGTGGAGGTGGTTATTTAGATCACACCCATTGTTACCTGGCCACTGTTCTAAGAACCAGGCCTAGTTCTGTTAAGATCTGCTCTCTACCCCAATGTGAATGGAAATCTGGCTCCCATATTACCAATTACCTTAGATAGTCATTGACTACAAGAATATAGTCAGCTGGTGGAAGAAACCAACATGTTATCTTGAAGGACTTAATTAAAAGAGATAATCAGTTCTTATCACACAGTCTTGTTTAGTTGTCTACTAATTTCTCTGGATTATATGTTTGCTAGTGTGGAACTCCATTTTAACATGTTTACCTTGCTATCACAAATGCCTTGCTCAGCATCTCACACATGGGACATACTTCAAAATAATGTGTAGGTGAATAAATGAGCGAATGCACAATCTTAAGAATGAGTCACATGGAATTTGACAGGAAAAGTACAGAGTCTAATGAGCCCCAAAATGTGGACTAAAGACTGATGAATTCAATTTTGGATATGTAGAGTCTGAGATACCACAAGATGTTCAAAAGGAAATACTTGGAAAGTGATTGCCCAACCAGTCATGATTTTCAGAGACAGACCTAGGCTGGATGGAGAGATTTTCTAGAATTGTGTTAGGGGGTGTGAGAAGAGAATTCTACCTTTCACTCCTTTTGGTTGGAAGTGAGTAGGGAGTTGCTAAATTCCTTAGCAAAGCCTCAGAAAGAGTATGGAAATTCAGGGCTGATGCATACAGATTTCAAAACATACTCATCTACTTCTAATATACTAGCTAGACCAGCATTCTCTGACAGAAATAAAATGCAACCATATTCAAATGACACCTATTATTTTAAATTTTCAAATGGTTACATTTAAAAGGTAAATTTATTACCATATATATTCAAAATATTATCATTTCAACATGTAACCAATGTAAAAAGGATTAGAAGAATATTTGTATTCCTTTTATTATACTGAATCTTCAAAATCCTTTCAACTGGCCATATGTAGTTAATGGCTATTCTACTGAGCCATGTAGACCAGGACGTGTTAGCCTAGTTATAAAGAGATGAAAAAAACGTAGTAAAAACTACTACTGCTGCTTGTTCTATAAATGATTAACATAAATCAGGGGAAACAGTATTGCAGTGTGCCAATATTTTACATACACATTTCTCATCTCTGAGCTACCCATAGTGGTAAATGTCATTATACTGCATTTTAGTGGAAGTAGAATTCCGCCTCAAAGAGGATGATTGAGTTGCCAAAACCTCACAGCAGCACATAAATATCTAGCATATAAAACTAGGTTGTTATGCCTCTAAATCGTCTGCTCTGTTATAATCTTCAGACTTTCAGTAAGACAGAAAATTATCAGCAAACTAATTAGGGATGATTCAAGCTTGGCACCAGCTAAAATATTTTCATTCTCATTTAATTTTTATATAAGAGCATTGAAGCTGGAACATTCAATGATCTGAGCCAAGTCCCCTAAGGAGATCACTTCAGATCCATGATTCTTTGAAATACTCATGGAAGTAGGATACTTGGGGCCACTCTTTTTCCCAGAATTAATTAAAGTCTTGGAGCTGAGGCTTCTTTATGTGTAAAATGGAAATAATACTCCCTGTCCCACTTACTTTCAGAATTTTTTAAATGAGAGCCAAATAAGAGAAAGATGGAAAACATTTCATTTTAGTAGGTTATTATGTTTTCATTATAGGAGTTGTTTTAGCCTCAAGTTGTGTCCCTGAATCAGACAATTATTTCTTCATAAGCTTTAAGAGTAAGAGGTTTTTTTTTTTTTCCAGTGAGTCATTCTATGACTCACAGTGAAGGTGGATTGGAGAAACTCAAACATCTTATTTTGACTTTGAGGACGCATCCAGAAAACTCCATTAGAGAGGGGTATTTCAGGAGGGAATTGTATTAGTGAATAAACTCTCTCTTCTCCTTAGGGCCTGTCAGCCAATTGGTGGAATTACCAACACTTCCAACATCATGTAAAACCAAACATCTACCCCAAAGACCCAGATATTGACGTGGGCCCACTTTTTCTGCTGGGGGATTCACAACCTGTCAAGGTATTTTATCTATCCCAGGGAACAAGAGGAACTATTCTTAAAGGATTCCTGGGAAGGCTTTCATCTTAGTCTTGGAAAAATCAAGTTGAAAGTCCTGGCTTCACGACCTAAGAGCATCTCACCTTTCTTTAGGTCCAGAATATATTTGAAATAACTAAATCTGGGGTTGTAAGAATAGAAAAATATTTGGCATCATAACTGTATGACAGTAAAGTCATTCAATTTAGCTTCCCACAGCAGATGCGATAACCCATATCATCACTTGCACAATCTCATTGCCAGGCAGGTCCCTTCCCAGCATTTATCATTATCACTGAAGTAACACAAACCAATGTCATAAAGTGGAATCAGATGACTGAGGCAGCATGAACTTTATGAATTTTAGCAAAGACATGGAAAGACCTTCACAAGAGAAGATAAGTCAGTGCATTTAATAAGCACTAGAGCACCAACACCTAAAAATCCAGTTATTTCAACCAATACTAGCTCAGTTGGAAGAGACTATGCTATTACATCTACTCATGTTCACTTTGGTGAATTTACTTTATATAAACCACACAGGAAAAAGGCTTTGTAAGACACTTAGAGATTCCACCTCTAATTTAGACTTCTTAGTGGAAAAAAGAAGGGAAAACTCATGTCTAGAATTTATCAGCTGTTGATTTTTTTCAAAAACCTCAGCTTAAACCTGCCATGTAAAGAACTATTTAAATTACCAAATTTTGTAGGAGTGTTCCTTAAAAGAGGTGATGTAACTGCCACCCCAAAAGGTTATTTCTCCTCAAGGGGAAATGCTGGAGTAACAGTCTTTTGGGTATATCCCCAAGAGTGGTATTGCTGGATCAAATGGTAGATCGATGTCCATGTTTTTAAGTAGCCTCCAAATTTTTTTCCAGAGTGGTTGTACTAGTCTACATTCCCACCAACCTGCACATCCATGTTTATTGCGGCACTATTCACAATAGCCAAGTTATGGAAACAGCCAAGATGTCCCAGCACTGACGAATGGATTAAGAAAATGTGGTATCTATACACAATGGAATTTTATGCAGCCATGAAGAAGAACGAAATGTTATCATTCGCTGGTAAATGGATGGAATTGGAGACCATCATTCTGAGTGAGGTTAGCCTGGCTCAAAAGACCAAAAATCGTATGTTCTCCCTCATATGTGGACATTAGATCAAGGGCAAACACAACAAGGGGATTGGACTATGAGCACATGATAAAAGCGAGAGCACACAAGGGAGGGGTGAGGATAGGTAAGACACCTAAAAAACTAGCTAGCATTTGTTGCCCTTAACGCAGAGAAACTAAAGCAGATACCTTAAAGCAACTGAGGCCAATAGGAAAAGGGGACCAGGAACTAGAGAAAAGGTTAGATCAAAAAGAATTAACCTAGAAGGTAACACCCACACACAGGAAATCAATGTGAGTCAATGCCCTGTATAGCTATCCTTATCTCAACCAGCAAAACCCCTTGTTCCTTCCTATTATTGCTTATACTCTCTCTACAACAAAATTAGAGATAAGGGCAAAATAGTTTCTGCTGGGTATTGAGGGGGGGAGTGGGAGGGGGTGGAGTGGGTGGTAAGGGAGGGGGTGGGGGCAGGGGGGAGAAATGAACCAAGCCTTGTATGCACATATGAATAATAAAAGAAAAATGAAAAAAAAAAAAAAAAAAAGGGGAAATGCTGGACCCTGAAAATAAGCTGCTTAAGATGATATTGCTATCTTCTTCAAGAAAAACTTAGAAGTGTTAAAAATAAGTCTATCTTTGTCAATTGTTGCCTGAACCTATCTGGTATATAAACCAAAAATGGTACAAAATTTGAAAACAGGTTTTCTCATCTTTGGGAGAATTCACACTCTTTATTAGAAAACAAAATCTTTTGCTTTTAATTTTTCTTTAAAAATTGTTGATGTTATCACAGATTAGTTGCTTTTGACAATAGCTCATCAAACAAGTTGGACTTCCCTGATGTCCTCATAGCTAAAGTTGTGATATGTTGATTTCTCTAATAGTCCCCACCTACCCCAGGACAAGAGGAATTTGTCTCACTCAAAGTGTTGAAGCAGCCTGACTCTCTCCAGATGTGCTTCCACATGCTCAGTACACATGATGCCTCTTCATAAATGCAGAAGACACCTCTCCAACTTCTGCAGCTGAGCCAGGCCTATTCTCAGAGTTTTAGACACTACAGTTTTAAAGCTACTGAACTGTATGACTTAATCTCTGAAATCCACAGTTCCATATCCAAAGCATTTCTGATGAGTTCTTCCCTCTTTCCCAACAGTCTTTCTACTATATTAAATGCCAATTTCTTAACAAGCATTAACTAAATCTGCTATATTCTGTGCTCATATGCTGCAAGATTTAATATCCTTCTTCAGGGTAATACTCAACAGTCCTTCCTTTTTCTCACTACTTAGAGTTTGGAGGCTTAGGAGCAACTTAAAATAGTTATCATTATTTCATCACCATGTTACTCCTATTTATGACAATAAAAGGAGGGACTAACTATATTATCTAAATAAAGGAAGAAATCTACATGTAAGAAGGAAGATAGCAAATGGAGAAAATAACAGTCTAACACCTCCTATAGTGTTGTAACTGAGAGAATATAGAATGGATATGAATTATCATTCATTCGTTCAAACCGCAAATAAGTATTTATCAAGATTCTGGTAGGTGCTAGAGAGATATGGTCATTATTTCTACGCATCCCTCAAAACAGTTGCTGTCATTGTGTCCTAGGCACAGGACAAATAAACAAGGGGAAGCCTAGGAAATGAATCGAATTCTCAGTAGTGAGTAGAATCTAATAATCTAGATGATGAATAATGATATATGACATGTGTTATAATCTCTCCTTATATCTATATCCATAATATCATTTTTTAGAAATCACAGTATAAGATCTATGATAAAAACACAAAAGAGGAAAGTTGGGAAAGACAAGAAAGACCGTATCAGTATCTTTATCACATGACCATTTAATGAATATTCATTGAATAAAATAATGGCAATGGAACACGAGTTTCAAGCAGAATCTTAAATGTTAGAGGTGAAAGAGAGCTAGAAAAGCTCATCAGAAATGTTCCTTTCAGCTACAATTACACTTGAATAAATCTCAAAGTAATTTCCATTAGAATTTTTTCAAAGTGATCAAAATCCCTGTAGTAAAATGAAAAATCCATCTGTGTAAGATTTGCCCTCATTTAGTTAAAGCAAAAAGATGCCCACCTTTAATTAAAGCACAATATTTGCTCCCATCCCTGTTCTTAGGTTTGACAGCCAATGAACACTGATCAGACGGCTCCTTCCACAGAATTTTACACACAAGCACACACACACATGCACACCCATCTGTGAGCATGTTGACCAGAAGTATTGTCTCTTATTTTAGTTTCATTCTCTCTCCATTCAGTATGGCAAGAAGAAAATCAAATACATTGACTATGAAAAGCAGCACCTGTACTTCTACATGGGTGAGTCTCTCAGAGCCACTTCCCTTATCTTTAATGCAAGCACTTGTCAATCCAGATGTGTAATTAGAATCCTTTCACGGAAATCAGCTCATATCTTGAGAAAAGCAGTAGGTCTTATTTCAGACTCACTGGTATGAAAATTTGAAAAGGAAAATGGGAAAGCAAAGCTGTTTTTCAACAGTCATCTCATCACACTAGGTATTAGGCAGAGGAGAAAGAAGATGGGAAGGCAGAATGTTTATCAGCGGTCCTGTGTCCTAGAGTCTCATCTTGGAAAGACTAAAAAATTCCAAGAAAAACTAAAAGTGATATTTGTATGTGGGGGAAGAGAGGTGGGAAAATAATACTGAAACATTTATAGTGTGATACCAGACAAATTAGACTCCAGAATAAAAGTCACCAGTAGAACTACTATGTTAAAGAAAGTGTGCTGTTCCCATGACCTACCCACAACTGTAGAATACATACATACATGCATATCCACGTGGACATGTTGGTCAAGATTGAAAGCAAATCGGTTTAGCTGAGTAATTCTGACATCAATAAAAAAACATCATACACAAAAAGCCTTCAATCTTAACCAAAATCAAATTCCTAATAACCTAAAAATAAAGTTTCCAAGTAAATCTGCAAATTTGCTCATCTAAACCATACTTGCACATTTGGGAAACAAAATCAGGGAGGGAAGCAAACATTGCCTATGGACCAGTGATTCTCAACCAGGGATAATCCTTCTCCCCTGGAGACATTTGACAAAATTCTGGAGACAGTTTTGCTTAACACAATGGGAAGGGGAGGAGATTCTTTGTTGGAATCCAGTAGGTGGAAGGCAAGGGTGCTGCTAAAATTTCTATGATTCTGGAGATGGCCCTTCATTAAAAAAATAATTAGCTCCAAATTCTAACAAGTGCTGAGGTTCAGAAACCCTGTTGCAGAAGATCTCATTTGCCCACGTGTTAGCTACTAGTGGCCACCTGTGACATCCCTATGGAGGATAATCACTGGGTAAAGTTTTTGAAATTCACCAACCATCACTGCTATCCCTTCCAGAAATGGATTCAGCCTCCCTGTGCTATACCCATCACTAACTAATCTCTTGGTACTCCATTTTGAAAGATAACTGACCCTAGCCAAATTGTATATGAAGTTGCACAAGAACGAGTTTATTTTCTGAACTTTATTTTCCCTCCTTTCTCTGTAACAGTACAATATCCCCTTAGCTTATAAGGAATAAGTGAATGGTGTGAATTCACTGCAGAATGCCCACCTCAGAAACCATATTTTCCTCTCTCCCCACTTAAAAGCTATTTTAGTGTGTCCTTTCACTTCCAGTGCCAGTAGCATCTTGGGTACAAACTTTTACAGTAAAACAGAGATAGACATTCATTAAAGATGGCCAGACAAATTGTGTTCAAGCCACTGCACTAAGAAAGAGAAATTTCAATATAAACTGAACATTACTTTTTGAAACACACTGTGGAGAGAGTCTTTGCAATGTCTGGGAATCCTAAAGGAAAATACTAAAGCCTTTGGAAGGTTAAATGATTAGGTTACACCACCTAACTGTGCCTGCTGACTGGCACTGATTTGTATTAGGTGTGATCCTCCTTCAGAAACTGTGAGACTGGGGCTCTATCATCCCTCATGATTACATTTCAAAGGAATGGCTCTCAGTTATCTGGGTTTTAGAAGATAAATCTCAAAGGAAGAGAGAATGTATTTGCAACAATAAGTTTTTTAAAGAAAATGCTGTAAGAAAAGGGAGGTCAGGGTCTTATAGTCAGGTTTTGGCTGGAAAAAAAGTTAATTATTTTGCCATGGCATTATTCAGCTTTCTTACACAGGAACTAGAAGTAGGCTGGGAACATCCCAGAGATGTGCTGTTGAGCTGTTAGAAACTATGCTAGTGTTTACATGAAGATTTTGAGTATAGGGGTGGATCATCATTTGTTTTGAGAGTTTGTAGTCTTCATTAGCCAACTTTGAGGCTTAGCTGAGAAGAAGGCTCAGAGGATCCTGACTAAAGTTTTTTCAAGGAGAGAGCCTTTATCCAAAACCAAAGAATCTCTTGAGTCTATGTCATGCTCTCAGAAACCTTTTGGGTGTTGGAAGTGAAACAGGTAAATAACTCTCTGGCCAGGAAATGAAAATGAATACATTTTCCTTACTCCTGCCATACAACAACTTGTAAAAGAACACATTCCCAAGGATTTGAGGGTGTTAAAAGACTCCAGTACCTGGAAAAACATTGAAAACTCACAGCAGAACATTTTGGGGGGTGCCCTCTTCAAAAATGGCTCAAGCCAGTTGCCAGGGGCTCGCGCTTCTAATCCTAGCTATGCAAGAGGCAGAGATGAGGAGGATCACAATTTGAGACCCTTCACAAAAAAGGGCTGGTGGAGTGGCTCAAAGTGTAGGCCCCGAGTTCAAGCCCCAGTACCACAAAAAAAAGAAAAAAAGACTCGAATCTTCAAAATTTTGCTAGCTGCTTTGAGAGAACTTGGAACTACTGACCAAACTTCTATTTCAGCCTCTGGGACTTGGAAAGCCCAATAGAGTTCAGGATGGGGTTGTGAATTTCCATTTTGTAGCCTTTCACAGAGCCAACATTGTGGGAAAGGCATGGGAAAGAAGTAGAAATCTGCTACTTTGCACTGCGGCCACATTCTGCTCACTTATTTGCCATCTCTTTTTGTTCTTTTGCAGTTGGGCTGCCCCTCCTCGTGCCTATATATTTCAATCTCCAATCCGTGCAAGTCATGTACCTTCGAAAGTATTGGGTGGTGAGTAACTTGGCTCACTGTCTAAAACCAGACCAGACAGAAGAGGGGAACTGAAAGTTCTTAGTGCCCTCCAGATGTAGCTTCCTCAAGGAGCAGGATGTAAGATTTGGCCAGCACAGGAAGGAGCCCCTGCCCAGTAAAGACAAATGCAATATGTTCAGGACATCTAACTTTGAAATGTTTTCCTCTGCAGGACATTGCCTGGGTCATCAGCTTTTACATTAGATATTTCATCACATTTGGTCCTTTCTATGGAATTTTTGGAACTGTGCTGCTCATATTTTTCATCAAGTAAGAATACTTTCTTATTTCCATAACCCACAAGGCTCTCTTATTTCTTTATCAGAGCTATTTATGATTAACACAGCATTATGACACCATGTCCCATTCCCTGAACTGATATGTTTCTAAGCAAATGTGAAAAAGCAATAATACATTGTTGAATGCGACCATTTTTTTTCTTGGAGTCCCAATTAAGTCATTTCAGTTGATTCCCAAATCCTTTAAAACTGTAGTTGGACATCATAAGCCCTGCCAAAAATCATGATTGGACTGGAAATTTTTTGGTGGTACTAGGGCTTAAATTCAGGGATTTTTGCTTGCACTTTAAAGACAGGCACTTTAACACTTGAGACATGCACAATTCATTTTTACTATAGTTGTTTTTTAGATAGGGTCTCACATTTTTGCCCACGCCTCGGACTGAGATCCTCTTACCTCTGCTTCCCAAAGATCTTAGATTACAGGCATGAACCATTAAGCTCAGCCCAGGACAGGAACTTTTTAAAGTTTTTCTCTGAATAGGTATGTTCCCAAGACTAAAATGACTTCAAACTATTACTTTGCCTACATAGCCCTCCCCTACTTTCCAATTTATTCCTTCCTCATTCTGCTGCATTATTGTGCTAACTCCTAACTAATTATAATGATAAAATCAGTTATTAGTCATGGGATATTTTATTAAGGGCTTCACATGCATTATCTTATTTTATGTACTACTCATACAACCCTATAATATAGATAGCATTGTCTTCACTTTTCTGCTAAGGAAACTGAAGCTTAGAGAGATTAAATCACTTGCCAATGGTAATAGAACAAGTAAGGGCCAATGCTGGTGCCAAGACAGAACTTGAACCCAGCTCTATTTGATGTCAAAGCCCAACTTGTCACCCACTTTTCATATGCCCTCAGAGAGTGTGATATCTTTTACTTTTGCACCAGACCTATAGAACTCTTTGGAGGCACTGCTCCAGCATGGAAGACCATACGGCCAAGTACCTGTGTGTCGACTCTAGCTATAAAAGACATTCAAAAAGGAAAAGGAATGACTGCAATTTTACTGAGACCTTGGAATCTCTTTCATTTCCTCTACTGCTTGGCCAGCTCTGCCAAGGGTTATGCAAGCCCAGTGGCTGCAACTAGAACAGCATAAAGAGTGATCACTTCCTATTTTGATTCCCCAAAAGGTTTCTTGAAAGCCCCTGGATTGTGTTTGTTACCCAGATGAGCCATATACCAATGAAAATGAGTGGAGAGGAGAATCGGGACTGGCTCAGCACTCAGGTAATGGTAGAGTCTCAAGGGAGGGTCCTTCCAATCAGACTGACTTAGAATCTGATTACTTCATGTAACAGTAACTCACCTACATATGTCCACCATGAAGTGCTTCACTTGTAAGTCCACAAGATAAGCACAATGATTATTTTTAGCTTCACAAGTTGATAAAATTGAGTCATGAAAAGTTTCAGTAACTCATATACAGTCACACAACTAATAGGTGGTAGAAGCAGGGTTTTAACCTAGGTACGGGTACCATGATTATAGAAACTTTTCTCTAAACCAATCATGAGTAAACTACAGTCCAGGAGCCAAACCTACTCTCTATTTGTTGTTTTTGTATATCAAGTTTTACTGGAATTCAACCATGTTCATTTATTTACATATTACCTATGACTGCTTGCATGCTATAGCAGCAGAATTGAGTATCTATGAAGGAATTAAAATATTTGCTGCCTAGCACTTTATAGAAAAGGTTTGCTGACCTCTCTTCTAATTTCCCACATGACACAGCCTTTCAAGTGAGTCAACTCATTAAATAGTTAGGACATTCTGGACATGAAATGCTCTCCAAATATATTATTAATGCTTAAAAAAGTTATAACCAACACAGATCACCCCTGCCTCATTAACCATAGTCCTTGCCACTAGCAGTGCTATGATAACAAGGAAATACAGTCATTACCTTGCTTTTTCTCCAAGTTCATGCCCAAACTCAGAGGACCCCCTACAAGGATATAGAGAAGCAATATAAAACTTTTTGTTTAGTAACCACTTTTTTATCTTTTCGTTTTCACTTAACACTTATTTAATCATTAGTTAGTATAAAAACTTCTCCAGTATTGGATCCTTATATTTCTTTTTGGGTGAATTTCATAGTCTCCTATTCTCTCTAGGGTTCACATGTTTCTTACTGGGTTTCAGAAATCTTTATAGACTAGTAGATTTTGTAGACTAATATACATTGTAATGTATATTATAAACCCTTTAGTTGGTTCTTGACCCTGTAATTTTGCTATGGAAGGAATTTTTAAATATTTCACATTGTCTTGCATGCAACATCCCTGCCATGAACCACTTAGTCATCTTTTTCCCACTCACCCTACCTAGTGAGGATTCTGGCATGTAGCTGTAATAAGAAATTTAATTAAAATAATATATCACCATATCATGTTTACAGCTAGTATAGAAGGTTAGTAAAGTCTCTCCACTAACCTATCAACCTACCTTGTCTTTTGAATGTCTTTCATCTAACTTGCAATGACTAAAAGCAACGAAAACACTTTACACTCTTAAAAGTTATTGAAAAACTCAAAAAAGCTTTTGTTTATATAGGTTATATCCATTGATATCTATTACGTTTGAAAATAAAACTGAGAACTTTTAGTATATAAATTCATTAATAATAAAATATAAGAATAAAACAAATTCATGTTAAGATTACAGTGACTTAGGATACTCTGGAAAATTCCACATGCACACAAGGCAGAATGAGAATGAAAAAGCAAACAATGTGTTAGAAGTATTAAGAAAAAGTTTTGATCTTGTAGATATCATTAACATATCCTAAGTACCTCAAAATTCTCAGAACTACACTTGAATAACACTAACATAAAGTAGCCACAGATTTTAACATTCAAAATGGCAACCACAGGTAAAATTAAACCTTAGAAAGGCATTGAACAAAATGACATTTATGTGGATTTTTAATCTTGATAGTCTGTGAAATCTGTGAACTTCCCTCTCAAGATAATATTTTTTCAAAAAATGTATAAAACAAAATAGATAAGGTTAATACATGATAAAAATCTTTGAATGGCCTTTCTCCTCACTTTGAAGTCCTTCAAATCTATTCTATGAAAATGGTAATCTGACACTGTAATCTCTGCCATAATCTAACAATACCACCTCCATCCTCCAAAGTCCTTATTCATGACGCCTTAGTCTTCTGTATCTAAGGATTGATAGTGATTTTTCCTCTCCAAATCCTACACACTCTTTCATATTTATTGTTCTGTATGTACTTCACTGTCTTTTGTTTGTTGGTGGAGGTACTGGGGTTTGAACTCAGGGTGCCAAACTTGCTAAACTGGCATTCTACCACTTGAGCCATGCCCCCAGCCCCTTCATTGTCTTTTTAAATGTTAAGATCCTTGAGATCTTGGACTGTGTATCTTTTATATTCCTCATAGTTTCTTAGGCACACACACACACACACACACACACACACAAAGTACTTAATAAGCACTTCTTGATTGTTGACTAAATAAAAAATAAATACTTTCTTGCTTAATAGTTAAGCTCATTTATATCTAATGCAATTTTTTTTCCAGGTCTTGGCCACCTGTAATATTGAACAGTCCTTTTTCAACAATTGGTTCACTGGGCACCTGAACTTCCACACTGAGCACCAGTGAGTGATAGAAGCAGTCCCTGATAGGTCAAGGATAGTCACTAATAACAGCCCCCAATGTAGTTTATTGTAAAGCCTTTCAGCTTAGAATCTCAGAATGGAAAACATGAACTAGGATTCTCTAAAGGCTGCTATATTTCTATTAGTATCAGTGGTTAAGGAGGGAAGAGAGAAAGGAAGGAGATGTAACAGTTGTGAAAAAATGGATTGGAATCGTGGAATTGTAATAGTGGCTTAGTTTTCAGATTTAAGTATTAGAAATTGGTGAGTATAGCTATCCTTATCTCAACCAGCAAAAACCCTTGTCCCTTCCTGTTATTGCTTATACTCTCTCTACAACAAAATTAGAAATAAGGGCAAAATAGTTTCTGCTGGGTATTGAGGGGGTGGGGGGGAGATGGAGGGGGTGAAGTGGGTGGTAAGGGAGGGGGTGGGGGCAGGGGGGAGAAATGAACCAAGCCTTGTATGCACATATGAATAATAAAAGAAAAAGAAAAAAAAGAAGAAATTGGTGAGTGAGTGAATATGTGTGCGTGTGTATGTGTGCTTGTAGGCACACATTTGGTTTGTTGAATCCCAAGAAAAATCACACCACTTGAGTAACCAAGTTTTATTGAAATTTAATGGCAATTTAGAGCCAAAGTTACAAAAAGAGAAAGAGACAAAGGCAAAGGAAAAAGGATCTCCAGCTTTCTTAAGTAATTAAAAATGATAGATAAGCCATACTTTCATTTGACCTGCCCCAAAATAAACATGTTAATAGCATTTCACAAACATTTGTTACCCATAGGGCTCACGGGAATGTTAAAAGATAAGATGAGGGTATTTTGGCAAGATACCTGACCTTCCAAGAAGGATTGAGCAAGATTAAGGTTAGATTTGCACTGCTGATGTAATTTTATTTGGTAATACAGGAAATAAAGTTCCCTTGGGTTTTTCTTCAGGTCTAAGTTTCATATCTCCTATTTGTTTCCCTAGTTTGTTCCCCACAATGCCACGCCATAATTATCACAAAGTGTCACCTCTGGTGAAGTCACTGTGTGCCAAGCATGGGTTACAGTATGTGAGTAAGCCCATGTTGAAGGCATTTGGAGATATTGTCAGGTAATAACATAATTTCTCTTGACTCTCAACTCTCAATTTCCATCCTGGCAGTCTCCAGACTACTCACTGGCTTGTAAATCATTCATCCAACAACCATTTATTAAGAACTACTTGTGATTTCAACATAAGCACAGAAACATACAGAGAACAATTCCAACAGCAATGAAAACAGAAGTACCATTTACCTTTTGCCTTCTACATACTTCTTAGCAGTAACATCTTCCTGTTCTACATATTTTAAGTTTCCTGAAACCAAGGCTATGTATCATTTGTATTTGTGTCTTTTTCAGAACTTCTTACATGCTTCAGAAATTCAGTGGTGGAAGGGACTATCAAATCCTCCAGTCCACTGTTGCAAACTTACATGTCTATAAGACCTGGTGGGATATAATGTGTGAATCAGTTTGGGGTGACTAGCCACAAGTTGTGAGGCCTACAAAAACTGAAAATTCAAACTCATGCTGAGCCATTCACACACATTTTTCTAGAGGACATTGTGCTGATCAAATTAACAGCCAGAGTTCTGGGTTTAATAACTTTCTCTTTCTTTTAAAATCAGTGGGAAAATAGTATCTTGAATAAGGTCAACAAAGCTAGGCCTGATCTCATCTGATCCCTGTCTAGTATTCCAACTTCAGACTCTGTACTCTCTCTTGCCTCTCTGCCCTCCAGATATCTGGCTTACTTTCTATTGCTACAAAACTCCCTGCTCTTGACCATCTCATCTCTTTGCCTTCTGCGTGAATATTCTTCCAAATGTCTCCCTCACCTCATATCGCCTTGTCAGTTTCCATTCACTCTCCAAGGCTCATCTCAAGCTCCTTTTCTCATGTTGGTTTTCATTGATCTCCACACCAAATCTATCACACGCTCTCCCAGCACCTGGTTTTCTTAATTAATGACCTTTATCACAATGATACTTAATTTATTGGGTGATAAATTATTTAATACATGTCTCCCAATCTATATCAGGAACTCCATGTAGACAGTATCTTTCTTCTTTCTTCTTCAATGCTATCTACCAAGAGCCTTGGAAAATATCTTCCACTTTATAAAATATAAAATGGGTTGGTATATAGATATATGGATACAGAACAGAATAAAATTAAAACAGAACTAAAATATTCTCCATAAAATAAAGGTGAAGTCATCTACCAAATCAATTCCATGTATTTTATCTCCTCCCTTAGTCAACAGAGAATGGCATTTATCAGATATAGCTGGAAGTAATATTGCCCTGACCCATGCAGAGGAGCAAACAAACACTCCAAAGAGAAGCTTGTTTTCCATTAGTTTCACTGACTGATGATTTTGTTTACTCTTCCCACAGGGCCTTGAAGAAATCTGCAACCCTATGGATGGATGCTTACTATGAGTAATACAGAGCCATATGTTTAATTGTATACCTGAGTGTGCCAGGAATGTGAATCCCAAGGACACATGAGAACCATGTCCCTAAAAGTCTTCTCTGCAAATAAGAAGCAGAAGAAACACAAGTTGACTTTGGCCAGAGTGACAAAAGGAAATGAGAGTTCATTATTTTCATTTTTTCACTAGGATCTTGAACTTAGTCCAATCAATAGACTTTAAGCAGATCATGTAAGTCAAGGAGCACAAGAATAGGAACCAGGTGAAAGTTTTACAGATGAAGTGGACATAGAAAGAAATGGGCCAAAGAGAGACATCTGATGGAGTACTTTGGAAAACGGTGTGCAATTGCTCTTTGAAAAGAATCATTTATTTAAAGAAACCACTTTTATAGTACAGTTTTTTCTTACTTCTTCTCAAACATGCAAATTTCTTTTTCTTTAAAAATTGATTATAATTAACATTAAAATATCTTCAAAGATTTCACTATTTATGTCAGACTTTCACTATCATACTTACATGTGTGTAATTAGTGTGTACATACACTGTGTTTCCACATGGAGAAATAATCATCTCATTAAAATCTCATTAAAACACTACCTATATGCAGTCTTAATGGTAACTGTCAAGTAGTTCTATATTACGAGGTGTCTTTGCTTGCTCCCTACTCAATAAAGCAGAACTACTGGACATCCTTATTGGGCTATTGTGATGAAATAAAGAGCTTCATTTTCTATAATGGAGACCATAGGTTGTGTCAAAACATTTTTTCAACTTTTGCACCAAATTAAGCATGTCTTGAAAGTGTTTTTCCCCTTGCAAAGGTTTCAGTGCTAGATGAATGAGATCATACCTACTCAGATACGCTCAGTATCATACTGACCTCTTTGCTGTGCTTTTGTTCAGCTATTCTGTGGGGTGTGATAAAACTTGACTTTTGCTACAGGGAGGAAAAGGATAACAGCAAGACTTCTTTACCCAATTCTAAGAAAATCAGCATTATTGGTTTATTTGTTGTCTGAAATTTTACCAGTAAGCATCTATTCTCTCCAAACTGCAAAACACTCTGGCATTTTGTTTCTTAATTGAACAATGTTTCTAAATGTGAACAACAGGGTAAATCACCCACAATTCCTGGGGCATTAGATATGTATCCCATGGCTTAGAAAGCAAGAGCTGGTTGTCTGGGAACAGGAAATGTTGAAATGTTAATAATATCAAATAAGGAATTTGGACAGGGAATGAAAAGAATGCAAAGCTCTGTTGACTTCATGATTCTTTGTAATGATTATGTCAAGAGGCCTTGTTCCTCCTGCTAATGGTCTGTAGAAACTTTCTCCTGACCAAATTCAGGGTTGCAAGTGGGAGTGGATACACTGGTCAGCTTTCTGTCCACTCCCAAAAATTCTGGTCCAACTCCCAAAAATTCTCAAGCACTCTTTGTTTTTCCAATCACTGGAAATAGCAACAAAATTTGTTCCCGGGCAAACCTAATTATCTCAAAAGAATTCCTCACTCAGTGTCAAAACTAGCCTACTTTGTAGCTCCCCAAACAAAGTTAGCTTCTGTATAATTTTGAAGACATCTGCTAGATGTAGGTAGATTATATACGGGGAATGTAGAATCAGTTCAAGAAAGTTGCTAGTCTTCTGGTCCTTGGTTATCCTTTGTTGGGAGGTTTTAATTACTGCTTTAATCCCTTATTTTTTATTTAACTGTTCTGATGTTCTATTCTTCATGACTTCATCTTGGTAGATTGCATTTATCTAGAGATTTATCCATATCATATAGGTTATCCAATTTGTTGGTACATAATTACAGTAATTGCTATGATCCTCTGTATTTCTATGGTGTACAAAAAGATACAAGCTAAACAATTTCCTGTCTAGTGATTCATCAACATGTGGTAGCATGATAAGGGAACTAAGACTATAAAAATAAAAATTGAGAGTCATGAAGGAGAAAAGGCGCTAGGTATGTGGCAGCTTGACCATGTAGGATGGATTGAGGGCTTGAGAGTATTAGACTGGTTTAGGCACTAGAATCAGGAGAAAATATACTGTGGCAATAGAGATGCCAGTGAGATTGATGCAGAGGGAGCAATGGCCAGAGTGGCACAAAGTGGAGGGAGTTAATGGTCCTTATTCCAAGAGCCATGGGAAGCCAATGAAGATTTTCAGATAGGGCTATAATGTAACTCTCAAGAATCGTTCAATTTAAAGACTCAGGACTGATTAAGCTACCCTCTTTCAGGCTCATAGATCACAGTCTTATAATAAAAGAACAAAAATAAAATGACCTATAAGATCAATCAACCTAAATTCTAACAGTGCTCAATGGTCTGAGAAGTTACAAGAGAAACAGACTCTGGTTCTCTACCTCTGTGGAGCATATTGAACAAGCGATAGAAATATAATCAATTCCTTCGCCAAGTGCAAATACCAGTCACCACAGGGTAAGAGATAAAATTAACCAAGATCACAAAGTCAGGAAAATGATGACTTTATTGATTACAACCAACTAAGCAAATTAAAATTTACTCCATAGCTATACCATTTAAGATTTTTGCTTATTCCAAGATTTTTCTGATTACAAAAATTCTAGTGTAATTCTTTCCAATCAGATAGAAATAAGAAACACTTCTGTATTCTTCTTTAATTTGTATGATGCTTTCAAAGTTAACTTAACTTTGTTGCTTATTGCAGGATTTTGTTTTCCTGAGGCTGAATAATATTCAATTGTAGGAACATACCAAATTCTTATTCATTTTATACTGATGAAAATTTAAGTTGTTTCCACATCTTGGATGTTGTGAATACAGCTGTAATGAAGAAGGGGTGCTAATAATTTCTTTGCAATCTTAACTTCAATTCTTTTAGACAAATATGCAGAATTGCTGTATAAAAACCTTACTAATAGTTAGGAACATCTACCAGGCAATAAGTACTGAGCTACACCCTTCATGGACATTGTTTCATTTAATTCTCATAACAGCCTCTTTTGGGCAGGAGCTGTAATTAACCTCATTATATAGATGGAAAACCTGAAACTTACGGAGCCTGAGCAATTTGCCTGGTTTCACAGGTAGGAACTCATGGAGTAGAGTTCAGATCTAGGAATATTTGACTCCATAGTCAATGATCATTATTTCCCATGCCAGGAAATCCAAAGTAAAGTATAATTTAAGTGGCATTAAAAGACATGGACAGTTGGCATCTTTTGAATATTTATGATAGCTTCCCAGGAGCTAATTAAATGGAAATAATCCTCAATGCCAGTGCGTTCCACAGAACAGGTGCCTGTGGAGGGGAAAGGGAATTTGGGAGAAGCATATGATAGACACAACAGCAACCTAGAAAGGATCCTTCTCAGCCAACTTCCACTTACCAATCCTTAAAAAGTATCCAGATCAGAGCAATTTCACTTGAAGAGATTCAAGCTGAAATTGAAACTTTCAGAAATATACATGCTGCATTAAATATGGACAAATAAGTCGGAAAAAATTCAGATTTTACAATGGCATAATATGAATTCAATCCATGGAAAATTCATGTCTATATTTGTATTTGTAAGGTTTTCCTCAATACCCTGTTTCCTCTAAGGCTTCATTCTTGTTGGCAAAATCAAATAATGAAAATTTGTCTGAGTTTTTAGTTGGACATTAAGTAAAGGAAACTGGATTAGAAGTCATGAACCTAGATTCTAATTTCAGCTCATAATTTTATCCTATAATGACTTTGACCAGTTCACTTACATATTTCATACCTCAATCTTCACTTCTGTAAATAGGTGTGGCGTGTAACATTTCTTGTCTATATGCATCATAGCATAGTTGTAACAATCAAATGAAGGTGAATGGGATGATGTCTTTGGGGGAACACCCATTTTGATTCTGGTTATTACTATAATTAGTGTTTCTCATATCCTAGATCCACCAGCATCAAAAAGGATGATAGAGCCACACAGACCCACATGACAGAAAGACACTCAATCATTTAAATAATGATGAGGGCACCTTTCACCAAATGAGCAGCTTATGCATCACAAATGAGGAAATGATTTCTCCTGTTGCAACAAGTAACACCCACAAGTCACCTGTCTCTTGTGACTGTACCAAAAATCTCCTGAAACCAGCATCCAAATCTCAAGCTGTCAGAATAGAAGAGTGAAAGTTCTAGTTACCCAAAATTCTGATTGACAATGTAAGGGCAAAAATCTTGTTATACAAAATCTTACTAAATATAAGAATAACATCTGTTGCTTGATCGATTATTTCTTCCTTGCTAACCATCTCCTTACCTGGTATAATCTCAGAAGTACAGAACATATAGGAAACTTAGGTTAAACTCTATTGAAAGCAAGAATACACTTGGGTATTCTTGAAAGTTTGCAAAGAAACTGCAAAATAGAAAAAAGTTTATAGTGAATATCTGGGTAGACATCACTTGATTTCAACATCAATACTTTAGTACACTTACTTCAGCTATATGTATTCATCTATCCCCCTCTCAATTTGTCAATTAATCCATTTTATTCTTTCATATATTTCAATGTAAATTTCCAGGGACTTGTTTTTTAAAAGAAACGTCAAGTTATACAGTCAATAGAGTATATTTTTCCTTTATCCTAAAGATACTTTTCAAATGACAAAAGCATAAATGGCTAATAAATACATGAAAAATTTTCAACATGCTTAGCCATCAGGGAAATGCAAATCAAAACAACATTGAGATTAAACCTCACTCCAGCCAGAACTGTTATCATCAAAAAAAGATTATAAGCAAAGATGCAGGGGGAAAATGAAAATTTCTTCACTGCTGGTTGCAGTGTGAATTAGCCCACCACTGTGGGAACCACTAAGGAAATCAGGTTCTTCAAAACCTTAAAGGTAAAATTCTCTTATGATACAGCCATACAACTTCCAGGTATATATCCAAAAGAATTAGTCAGTTTACTATATAGGTACCTTTATGCCCATGTAAATCATGATATTATTCACAATACCCAAGTT